ACAGCGACAGCAGCAGCAGCAGCAGTAGCAGGAACGCGTTTGGCTGTGGATTGGTGGCTGTTGGACAGTCGCAAGGGGCGGCGCAGCTGCTGATAGCGCTTTCTTCTTCTCCTTCTTTGGGGCTGCTGGTGCAGCGTTCAGTCTTGTTTTCTCCTCCCTTGATCCTGCAGCCGCTGCAGCAACTGCCGTACTCTGCACGAGTGTTGCTGCTGCTAGGGATGCAACACCCCACGCTGCTGCTGCAGGCGTTGAAATTCTTTGTTGGCTTCATCCCCAAGCGGCTGCTGAGTACAGCAGGCAATGCAATTGTCGGCTCCGGGAAGAGAGGCGGCATGCGCTTCTACAACACCCCCCTGCAGCAGCAGCAACTCTTCCTCAACTTCGCCCATACGCCTTCTGGTAACCGCACCCATCTTGCTGTTGCTGCTGCTTATGCTGCTGCTGCTGTTGCTGCTGCTCCTGCCTGCTGCTGATGATGATGATAGGCTGGTATGCTGCACGCCTATGAGACGCCAATGCATGTTCCGGGGGGGGTGGGGGGGACCGCGGGAAAAACCAGGACCTTCCCTGCTCTGGTGATGGTGCTGTTGCTGATACTGCTGTTGATGCTGCTGCTTCTGTTGCTGCTGCTACTGGTGTTGCTGCAGGGGGAACTTCACTGCAGAATTTTGCTCATTGGATGCAACAGATGAATAGCGGCGAGCCTTTGTCTTCTTTCTCTTCTCCAAGTTTTGTATTTTCACCTTCTTCTCTGTTCCCTTCACATCGTCGAGGTGAATCCACCCACACCTCGGGGGTGGGGCAGCTGCAAGAGACCACAACGCCTCAGCACAACGAGCAGCAGCAGCAACAGCAGCAGCAGCAGCAACAGCAGGAGCGCTGCCCCTTGCCAGGGGTGGATGTGATTCGGGGCCGGTATCCCCTGGAGAGAATCACCAGTTGTGTGTATGCATTTCTTGGTGCCCACGACAACCTCGTGCAGCCGGGTCAGTACCAACTGCTACACTATCTTAACGAAACCCTGGCTAATTAGCTAGTGGGCTGGTTTTTGCGGATAGCTAGCTATTAGGCTAGCCACCGTGGACAGCTAGCTAGTAGTCTACCCGCCTTGGCTAGCTAGCTAGTAGGCCGTCTATCCAGCTCACTACTTGCGCCGCTGGAGTGTTGCTTCGTCGTGTAGCTTGTGTAGTGAGGTTCCCAACTTGGTAGCTAAGAGATCACAGGGCAAGCTAGCAGGCTAGCTAGCTGGCTAGCTAGCTGGCGAGCATAGACTGCGACTGCTCGATGAGAAGCGATTTGTACGTGTGATTACGTTGTTCAGTTTCTGTCGTTGTTGCTTGCGTTTCGGTCTGCATGCAGAGGCAAGTGCGGCGTACCTGAGAAGATGCATGAATAAGGAGAACCTCCATCTGCAGGTTGTTGAGGGCTTTGGTCACCTGGACTTTGGCTGGGGGAAAGACAGAGCTAAAGACTTGTACCCGCAACTCTTGGGGATGGTTTCTGCATGCACTGCTCCCTCCTCTTGTGCATGCAAAGAAACAGAAGGGAATAGGTGAAACCGGTCGTCGGGGCTGCTGTGCATGCATATACTGCAGAACAGCTGCCTTTCGCTTTTGAAGAAGACGTTGCACGGGAGGTTCAGCCGTCTTTGTTTCAGCTTGTCACTGCATGTTTATTCATTTTGTTGTTTTTTGGCGTTCCTCCTTAGAATTTCAAAATTACATAAAGACGATAAAACCCCAAAGCGGGTTTGAGGCGGCCTCTCAGCCTACCCGTAGCACTAGGCCATTTGCTGTATGCGTGCATGCATGCATGCATGCAGCGTTTAGTGGTTACATCTGTGCATGCACTAAGTGTGTGCATGCATTGCTGTGTGCCTGCATGCATGCTTGAATGCATGCACATGCACTTGTTGAGTGCGCACAGTTAGTTGCATGCACGCAAACTTGCATCCACTTATATGGCCTTTCAAACTATGCATGCATACATCCTCTTACCAT